AAACCCTAAACCCTAAACAACCGTAAGGATGATGGTCAAGAAACAATCATACACGTTCTATTGAAAACTGAAGCCATTTGAAACCCGAGCCCACTGTAAAGCGCTATCAACCCTGTAAAAAACCCCATGAAGCCTGTATGAAAGCAACAGTCTAAAGTCCTCATAAATCCGTGTAGAACCCTAGAAAGCTCTATCTACATACATATGTATATATATATATAGAACCCTGAGTACAGAACCCAGAAAGATCCCTCAAAGGAACTCGAGGAGTATGAAACCCTGGTTAGAAGCCCCGAAAAGAGCCCTTAAAGGACCTCCGAACCGGAATCATCAAAGGCGCTCTTAAGAGAGCCAACTCTAAACCCTTAAACCCTAAACCCCTAAATCCCTAAACCCTAAACCCCTAGACCCTAAACCCTAAACCCTAAACCCCTAAACCCTAAATGCCCTGAGCCCTTAAACCCTAAATCCTAACTTTTTGACAGGAGCCCCGGACTTGGACCTTGAACTTGAACCCTCAACCCATCACCCAAAGAACAAGCACCTAAAGTCCTAAACCCTAAACCCCTAAACTTGAAGCCCTGCTTTTTCAAGCCGCCAAGCCCTGAACTCCCAACCCTAAGGGTTTAGGGTTTAGGGTGTTTAGGGTTTAGGGTTTAGGGTTTAGGGTTTAGGGTTTAGGGTTTAGGGTTTAGCCCGGAAACCCTAAACCCCTAACCCTACCTAGACCCCCCAACTACCCTCTAATATACCCTAAATGCCCACTGTTAAGGGCCATAAGGGCTTTATTGAAGGGCCCTTGGGGGGGTCCTGGAAAGCCCCGAGCTTTGAGCCTTAATCCCTAAACCCTATAAACCCTAAACCCTAAACCCTGAACCCTAAACCCTAAACCCCTAAACCCCTAAACCCCTAAACCCCTAAACCCAAATCCCCATAAACCCAAACCCCCATAAACCCTAAGCCCTGAGCCTTCGCGGCTCTCGTAGGCTCCTCTTCGAGCGCTTGGCGGCGAAGCGCTGCCAGCCGGACCAAATCAGCGGCCGGGCGGTTTCGTTGTTGATCTCTTCTCTGTGCGGTTTTAGGGTTTAGGGTTTAGGGTTTTAGGGTTTAGGATTTTTGAGTTTTAGGGTTTTAGGGTTTTAGGGTTTAGGGTTTAGGGGCAAATATATCTGTATGTATGTACATGTATATATATATATGTATGTATATACATATACATATATACATATATACACATGCATCTAGAGAAGTGTGTGTGTGTGTGCATATATACAGACGGATAGGTAGATTCTAGGTGGATAAATAGATCGATAGAAAGATGGATGGATGGAGGCATGGATGGAGAGATAGATAGACAGATAGATAGATGGATGGATAGAGGATAAAGGTATACATGTAGGCGTAGATGTAGAAACCGATATCTTAATCGGTGTGTGTGTGTGTGTGTGTGTTTGTACCTGTGCATACACACATATACACATATACACATATGGATACATGTAACATTGGAAACGTACAGTATCACCATGTGTGTTTTACATTGGTGTACATGATATCACATAGACAGCCTAGGCATATGGCATGCATTTCGTTACAGACCTAACTTGAAGTGTACATATGGGCTTTTAGGTATAAACTAATGGATATCAGATACACATACATATACATATGTACGTGTATACGCACCCGTGTACGCACATGGACGTGGGCACCAACTGACATACTCACATGCCTGCATCATGAGTACATGCATACATATATACACACAAACACACACATTGTATATCTATATATATATATATATACCCACACACCTTTGCATGTGTATAGTTGTTTTTTTCGCATACACGTGCCCGCATATATACATGCGCATACCCATACATACATACATACATACATACATACATACATACATACATACATACCTACATACCTACATACCTACATACCTACATACCTACATACTTACATACATACATACATACATACATACATACATACATACTTGCAAAGCATACAATGCATACATGCAGACATATGCACATACATTTATGCCTGCACGCATACATACTTACATGAATCAACAAACGCTGTGTGCATATGTGTGCATATATATATATATAGACGCCCATTTTTAGCGGTGTGTTTGGTGTGTGTCTGTGGGTGGGTGAGCTGTAGCTATAAGGGCGAAGGTCCTGTGACAGTTTCTGCGAGCGCATATTGGACATCTTCTACAGAGTTCCAAGAGGTCTTGCTGCCTATAAACCCTAAACCCCTAAACCCTAAACAGGAAGATAGGAAATTGCTTAAGTACTGGGTTTGTGATCTTTTGGGATTTTGACCAGGGTTAAGGGTCAGGTTTGTTAGGCGGCCTTGGTGCTTTGAGAAGTCCATGAGCTTTCAGCCCGGAAGCCTTTAATGGTTGTAGCTCCTATGCGCACCCTAAGCTTTGGAATTAGGGTTTAGGAGTTCGGGTATAGAGTTTAAGGACGACCTCAACCTGCAAACCTTAGCGTTTTGGAGAGCTTTCTTGCAATGTCCCTAGCAGCAGGTCAATCAGGTCAAGGTTGTTCGACACCCGAAGCGTCCTAAATACATATATAGTGAATGCAGTGGATCTATATTAGGACAATTCTTTCAGAAGTGTCCCGTGTAACAGTGCATAGGACCCTTTGGGAAAGCATGTATGCTATGCGGCGAAAGCTTGGGATTTGTAGCCTGACGGGTCTTTGGTAGGGTTTGGACTGTTAGCTGCTTTTCCTAGGCAGGTGTGATAGCACGAGGAGGCTCTTGTCATGGGAGTAAAGGGATCAACAGCCCAAGTTCAACTAAGCCTCGTATCGTTATTCGAAGTCGCTAAATGTCGTGGGAACAGGGACACACTAATGCGCAAATCATCGAGTGTCTATTCAGGGACATTTCACTTTTTCGCGCGGGAGCCACGACATCTGCACGAAGAGCGTGTGTCGAATACGCAAGGGCGGAACTTATCCATGTGGTGAGCATGCACAGCTTCTTCTATGCAGTCTCAACATTGAAAGTGAATGCCGGAAGACCTAAACCAGTGTAATTACGTTTTCTTTGTCCCTAGGTGACATGAAGCCGACAGTTCTTTCCATTGCACATCGACGTGTCTTTGCTCCAACTCGTACAACTTGAGATCCTTTTCCCGACGTTGGGCTCCGTGAATCCTAAGTCGGAGCTTTGCCTTTAAAAGTGTCCGGGTCTGAATATTCCAGGTTAATACCTCCGTCACAAGGTCCCAAGCTGGTACGGCTCGTGTGCCTGGACCGTTTGCGCAATTTTAGGGCGACATAGATGGGTTGCAGGATTCAGGGTGTGGTTGTAGGTTCATAGACTTGCGGTGCTGGAGCCTTCAACATGACCCGATCTTGACCCATCTTGGGGGATAAAGTGGCAAGGTCTGTGCCCTTCCATTTTGGGTATCTTTCAAGGGTTCAGAAACAGTAGCTCTATGTGCAGTGTGCATGATCTTCTGTTGAAAGTTCAATTGCCACGGTTGCTTGGCTAAGAGTTTGAAATTCTCATGGCGATCGTTTCACTTAAAGCCATCGACGCGACAGCGTCGCAGCCACCAGACGCCCCATTTTGGGGGTCGTTCAGCTCACGCAGATCGTGGACCCGTAGCATATAGCGGAGTGTGCTCGGAGGGATCCCGTCCTGCCATCCCTCCTTGGAAAAGATGAGCTTGCGGGTCCTGTTGTTGTCATCCAGTTGATATTTCGCCCCGCCGGTCAAGATCACGACAGACGGCCATTGTTCTGACGGCTTTTTGAAGTGTACGCTGTTGGGGCCACACGCACACGCATTGAGCGTCGTTACATGATGTTCATGTTGGTGAGAGTTTTGAACTCATACTGTCTCATGGTACAGTAGCCACAGGCTGTGCAGTGTGGATGTTAACATGATGCTGGTTGGGCATGACGCCGAGGCCGCCACGTGAACATCTCTGCTTGCGAGCGCGGCGGGCATTGGCAGCAGGTTTCGCACTTGGACGTCACACCCATATATACGCGCAGAGGTATATGTCCGGAAACCCAAACCCGCCAAACCAAACTCCCGAGAGCAAATCCCGTCGGAATCTTGAATCCCAGTGTCAGATGCCTTCACTTCAAGCCTTGAATGCAAGCAGTAACTCGCCTTGCCAAATCTAATGTCGCAAGCCATAACACGGAACCGACAAAACCGTAACAGGAAGGGCTTTTGGGCTACAGAAAAGCTTGTAAGCCTTAAACCTCCCGCCTCAAACCCGGAGCCCCCAAGCTCGAACCTTTCCAAACTTTCAACCGTTCTAGACCTTAAGCTTGTATAAGGATTCAGATTATACGGCTTCGGGCGCAAAACCATCCTTTAAAGTCGTTTGGCCCATTCTGAGTTTTCGAGTCATTAAGCTGTACTTTTCAGTTTTCATCAACCTTAAGCCTGGGCCTTGAACCTTAAGTGGTGTGGGCCTTGAGGTGCTGAAACAGAGCTCGGCAGTCCCACACCTTAACCCGTGCAGTGTGAAATGGGCTGAAGCGTGCAGTGGTCTCACATGCCCCCCACAGATTTTGTTGTGGCTCTAAACAATTTCGGTGTTGATGGTTTTGGGATTTCAGGGTGTGGGTGTGGCCTTCGGAGTTTTTAGGCTTGCCTCGACCGGCAAAACCTGGTTCCTTTAATGGTAATTAATTAGATATTGTCGAGGTCAAAGCAGGTTTTTTTAGGATTCCGAACACTTTTGGGACCCCGAACAGCCCCAACCTAGTGGATTCCGATCCGAGAAGTGAAGCGGTTCAGTGTTTGGGGTGATAACGTGTAGCATGCCACATGTATGCGAGTTTCCGAACTTGTGGCTTCATGGTTTTACGGGTTTCTGGAATCATATTGTACAAAGGATAACCCGTTAATTTGAGGTAGTACATGGACCAAAATGAGTTGAATGGTGTTGCGTAGGGTTCGCTAACATATCTAAAGTCACGATATTCTAGGGCCTAGAATTGAGATGTCCCGTTTACAGGCCATACTCGTCCCAAGCCGTGCCCTAAACCCTAAACCCTAAACCCCTAAGCCCTGAATCCTTAAGCCCCCAAGCCCTGCACCCTAAACCCTAAACCCTAAATGGAGGCGGCTTGTAAGCTTTTGGGCTGCTCTCGTCAAACCAAGGGGCCCCGTAGGTCCTCCAGGTCAGTTTAGGGTTTAGGGTTTAGGGTTTAGGGTTTAGGGTTTAAGGGTTTAGGGTTTAGGGTTTAGGGTTTAGGGTTTAGGGTTTAGGGTTTGGTCAAGTTTCGCTTCAGGGTTTAAGGTTTATATTGGGGCTTATCAGGATTTAGGGTTTGGATTGCGTGCTTAGGGTTTATATTGGGGCTTATAGGGTTTAAGGTTATATGGGGGCTTATTAGGATGTAGGGTTTAGATTGAGGCTTATAGGGTTTATATTTGCGTTTACGGTTGGGGTTTAGGGTTTATTTTTGGGCTCAGTCGGTTTTGGGTTTATATTCGTGTTTAGGGTTTGGGGTTTAGGGCTCTTGGTCAAATCTGGGTGCCTGTGGTCGTGATGGTTTACAGCTGGTACGCTTCAAAGGAATTTGTGTAGCTTCGTCGTGAGGCATCCGGTGGTTGGGACAGCTAGGTTCATTCCGAGTTTCTTTAGGAGAGGGTGTATCGGAGGCGCTGCGGCTTCATGCGCGACAGCGTCAGGACAGCTTGCGTGCCAGCGCTTCTTGTCGGCATTGTCGGTATGTGGGTAGTTATCTAAATCAGGGGCCTTTTTAGGTCCCATGGCACCCTTAAGAAACGGACCCGAAAATTTAGGCCCTAAGTGCTAGGTGAATTCAGAGAACTACCCGTATGTTCACCTTCAAAACAGCCCTTAATCCTAAACCCTCTGAGAGGTGCTGAGCCATGAAAAGCTCAGCCAACGAAAGGAAGGATCTGGCTATCCCAAAGGGTCGTAAGTACCTATATACTAGAACATAGGGTTTCTATCATGGGAGTTCATAATATGATTTCGGGAAGTATCCCCCATTTGTAGGAACCATAAACCCTTAAAGGAACCCTTAAAGGAGCCTTAAACCCTGAACCCTCAAAGGAACCCCATGGCAGTACCTAGGACCCTTTGAGTATGGCAGGTCTTTATAGGTCTCAGGATGAAGAGAGTGTTCAAGACACTCTCCATGCTCCAAATGGGGGTTTCCGAAAAATAGGGGACCCTAATATAGCACCCTAAATAGTAGGATCCTTATTATAAGGACCCCAAACTAAGGTACCCCACTATTTTCGGAAACTCCCAGGTGCCTGCCTTTCCTTTACTGAAACTAGGTTCCCCAGTAGTACCCTTTTGCCCTTTTTCTTTTTGGGGCTCGATTATTCAAACCAAATGGTAGGAGAAAGGGCACCCTTATCATTAAGGGGCTACTGGGGAACCTAGAAAAGGGCCTAAACAATTACCAAAACGAATATTCAGTTTAAGTTTCGGAGGTAGTCTTGCGATTGCCACGGCATTTGGGTTTAGGGCTTAGGGTTTAGGGCTTAAGTTTAGGGTTTAAGTTTAGGCTTTAAGTTTAGGGTTTAGGGTTTAAGTTTAGGGTTTGGGGTTTAAGTTTAGGCTTTAGGGTTTAGGGTTCAAGTCCAGGGTTTAGGGTTTAGGGTTTAAGTTTAGGGTTTAGGTTTTAGGGTTAGGATTTGAACGGGACCCTGTCGATTTCTTAGGTGCCCGTACTTGGGGTTTGGAGTTTGGGTGTCTAAGGGTTCAGGGGACTTAGTAACTAGTTTATAAGTAGAGTTAGAAGTGCCTTAAATGGAGTTACCCGAATTATAACCCTAACTCCTAAACCCTAAATCCTAAACCCTAAACCCTAAATTCTAAACCCTAAACCCTAAACCCTACTTATAACCGACGTACTAAGTCCCCTGGCTTCTCCCCAAACCCTACGCGTGATGATAGAAATCCTGCATTGCCCATAATAGGGAATATAGGGTTTAGGGTTTAGGGAACGGGTTTAGGGTTTAGGGTTTAGGGTTTTGGTATAATCCTGCAGTGCCCAAGGACTATACCAGGCCCTTTCAGGGGCCCTTTGACAAAGCCCTTATGGCCTTTAATAGTGGGTATTTAGGGTATATTAGAGGGTAGTTGGGTGGTCTGGGTAGGGTTTAGGGTTTAGGGTTGCGCCGGCATTGGGCTGTTCGGCTGCATTCCTCCATCGACTTGTTTTTGCTCCTCGTACAGATATTTGGCCGGTCTATTCTTCACGCGAGGCCTGAATCGGTTCCACCTGGAACCAACTTTGCATCAACTCAAACACATTAGCATCCGCATACAAGAACAGCTGGCCAACGACGACATCGAGGCCATCCTAAATCCTGGGATGTATATATGCGAGATGAGCGAGGACTTCGTTGGACACGTCTCCCGAGTAAGCAGGCGAGTGGCTGCTCGGGGCTGTGGTCTCCGGACACTCCAGAGACGTTTGATCAGAGTGCACATGTTCTGGACTGGCGAAAATCGAATTCGAAGAGAACGAGTGCTCACGATCCCGAGGTTTGCAGAGTATCCATTCCCCCGTAAGACTTTAAATCATCCGAAGCTGCTGAACTGTCCCTCAAACCCCCGAATTCCTGCCGAGCGTCGCCATTGCCATCGTAGACACCAGGCCAGCTTTAGAGCATGCTTGGGTATAGGGTCACTCAGGGGCTCGAGGGCGGATCCACTTTGGATAGTTTCAGTGTGTTTCTTGGTTGGCTGATTCTTGCTCGGCAACTTCTTGAAGAGAAAAATTAGCACATCGGCTGAATCTCAAAGCAGTAAACGTTGAGGCTGAAATAACAGCACAACACGGGGTACCAGGTAGGGCCTAGGGTTTAGGGATTAGGGTTAGGGTTTAGGGTTTAGGTTACCCATAATAAGGAATGAACTATGATTCCCATAGGTGGGGCTCTTAAAATGCAGGATTTATATCATCTCCCGTAGTTTAGGATTTGAAGCAGGTCCGATTCGATTTCATTTATCCCAATGCTACGGTTCTCACGAAAAGGACCCATATGGATAAAAGTGGTACCCCTAGCTTCAAGAAGATTCGATTCGGTTGCATCTAGGCCCTAAGGCTACATCTAACCATGACTACAGACTTACGGTTTAGGGTTTAGTTTGTAGGGTTTAGGGTTCCCTCAACAATTACCGTAAGCCCTATATCGAGACTAAATAGGCACTTTGACCCTGAACCCTAAACCCCAAACCCCTAAACCCCTAAACCCTAAAACCCAATAGGCACTTTGAGCCTTAGGGTAATGGGGCTTCTTTCCCAGGCTGTGTCGTACAATGCGACGATCAGCGCCTGCGAGCCGCCCAGCTCGTGACAGCGTTTAGGACGTAATTAATAGAAAGTCAATTTGGGTATAGAGTTCAGGGTTTAGGGTTTAGGGTTTAGGACTTAATTAATAGAAAGGCAATTTGGGTAACTAGCATTGTACGTCTCCTAGTCGGCTCGTTCTTGGGATGTTTTGCTGGGCTTCATTTAAGGGTTCCTCTAAGCGATCTGTAAGGGTACTATTGGGGTTTAGGGTGTTTTAGGGCTTTGGGTTTGGGGGACAAGTTCCCCAAGCCCTACACACCAAGTTCTGCTCTCTTACCCCCATCCGTAAGGGTCCAAGTACGTAACAATCATAGACTTGTCCGAATTAATACGAACCTACAGGACTACTACCCTGAACCGATGCGTTGGGCCCTTAACCCTAAAAAAACAAGAAAGCCTATAGATCCCTAGTAGAGAGCCAACCGCTATCCCATAATCATTACGTCCCTGTTCTCCGCTTCATCTACTAAAGGGGCCTTAATAATTACCTATACCACTATGGAGGTTCCTTATTATAGTTATAGCATAACATGCCATAAACCCTAAACCCTAAACCCCTAAACCCTACACCCTAAACCCTAAACCCTTGTTCTAATTATTATCTCCCCTTTTGTCTTCCTAGGTCCCCAGCCCGGTCCTGAGCCAAAAATGTTGGCAAAGCCTCCTGTAAAGCTTAGGGTTTAGGGTTTAGGGTTTAGGGTTCCACAAATTTCAATGGGAGGCTGGTTTAGGGCTTAGGAATGAAGGTCTAGGGATTTTGGGGTAGGGTTTAGGAATCAGGGTCTAGGGGCATGGGGTGTTTAGGATTCAGGTTTTGGGGTTTTGGGTGTAGGAACCAGGCTTTAGGCGTTTAGGTTTAAGGATGTCGGTGCCTTCAAGTAAACCTTAGGGTTTAGGATTATGGGTTTAGGGCAAGCCCTAACCCTAGGAGCCCATGTGCTCATACAGTACAGACTTTGGCCCTAAAGTGTTTGTATTTGGAACACGTTGCTGCAGAGATATAGAATTAGTATTTGATCACATGGACCCTTAGGGTGCATGAACCCTGAACCCGAAGGCACTGTAAAGACTCCATAAACCCTTCCCTAAACCCTGTAAAACCCTAAACCCTAAAGGGACATCCTTGGAAGATCCCTAGTTAGAGGAGGCCCTTAAACGTCTGAAAGGGGATCTAGCGGGTGTAGGGCTTCAGGGTTTAAGGTTTAGGGTTCAGGGTTTTAGGTTTAGGTTTTCGGGGTTTAGGGGTTTAGGGTCTAGGGTTAAAGGGTTTAGAGTTTAGGGCTTATGGCTTTAGGGTTTAAGGGTTTAGGGCTTAGGGTGAACCCTAGAGCCTAAACCCAAAGCCCAAAGGGAACCCTGAAAGGAAGCTTTAACTCCTTCAGGCGGTTGAGGAAGCTCTCAATAATTTGGGTATCTCCATTTAGGGTACTTATAACTTTAAATAGAACCTACCCTAGACCCCCCAAAAGGGAGCCCTTGACAAAACCTTAAGCCCTAAACCCTAAATCCTAAACATTAAACCCTAAACCCTACACCCCAAACCCTAAACCCTAAACCCTAAACCTTAAAGAAAGAGCAACAAGGACGGCCGGAAGCTGGCGACAGGCGCTGGCACTCCTCGGCCAGATGGAGGAACGGTTCCTGTAAAGGGTCCTTGAGGAGAGTTCCTTTTAAAGGGTCTGTAGGGTTTGTAGGGTTCAGGGAGTTTTTTTAACGGGTCCTTGAGGAGAGTTCCTTTAAACGGGCTTTTAGGGTTTAGGGTCCTTGAGGAGAGTTCTTTTTAAGGGTTTTTAGGGTTTCCCTATAGTCTCCGTTGTAGTTCCCTTTGGGGGTTACCTTTTAGGATCCTTAATATAGAACTGGTTAAACCAAAAAAAGGAACTACAATGGAGACTACACGTAGGGCTCAGGGAGTTCCTTTAAAGGGTCCCTTAGGGCTAAGGGTTTGGGGTTTAGGGTTTCGGGGTTTCGAGACTTCCTTTAAAGGGTTCCTTTCAGGGTACCTACAAGGGATTTAGGGTTTGGAGAGTTCCTTTAAGGGTACCTACGAGGGGTTTAGGGTTTGGAGACTTCCTGTAAGGGTACTTGTAAGGGGTTTAGGGTTTGGAAACTTCATTTAAGGGCACCTATAAGGGGTTTAGGGTTGGGAGACTTCCTTTAAGGGCACCTCTCAGGGGTTTAGGGTTTGGAGAGTTCGCTTAAAGGGGTTCCTGTTGTTACGGTACCTATCAGGGTCCTTTAGAGAGTGCAGTTCCTTTAAGTGGTTCCCTGTTTAAGTATCCCAAACCCATGTACCATCAGTTACCTACTGATTAGACACTTGGGACTCGAAGTTGGACCCCTGAACCCTAAACCCTAAACGCTAAACCCTAAACCCTAAGCCCTAAACCCTAAACCCTAAACCCTAAACCCTACTTAGCAAGACACTCCAAAAAGTAGTCTGTGATAAAAAATCCTGCACCTACGAGACACCTACCAGGATGTGGTCAAGTGGATCGAAGATGAAGACATTGCAATGCAACTCAACGCCTATCCCAAAGGGTCCAAGTACCATTATAGTAGATACTTAGTAGGTATTTGGGCCCCAAAAGTATATACTATACTACCCTCAACCCTAAACCCTAAACCCTAAACCCTAAACCCTAAACCCTAAACCCTAGACCCTAAACCCTAAACTATACTAGTACTTGGACCCTTTGGGTATGCTGCTATCTCCTCAGAAATTGAGGATGACGAGCTGGGAGGGGTACACGCTGAGGCGGTTCAGCTCGCTTCTGCTGCCACGAACACCCTGACCCTAAGGGTCCATGTACTCAACCAGGATATGTTTTGGCCTTAAAGTAGTCCCTATGTAGGTACTTTGGGGCCAATGTATATACTATTTTGGTACATGGACCCAGGCTAAAGGGGAAGGGCAAAGGCAGATCAACGAACGTGTGCTGGTGGGGATGAGAGAGCAGTGGCTCCACAGGAAGCTGAGGGCGGAGATCCAGCCGTACCGCCTTCACGCGTGGGCGGTACTGGTCACTCTGCCATGGGAATGCTGGCTGGTCTCTCATCTTAATTGGCTTTTTCTTGTGAACCTGTGTCTCGGTGTCTCTCGGTGTCAAGCTGGTCTTGCCCAATGCGTATCTCATCCTAGAGTCTTCGGGTTCAGATTAGGGCTATTTCCGAGACACTCAGATTTTCGTCTGCGCCTTAGCGCCAACCCGCCACAACATCTTTACTATAAGGGCCTGAATAATTGCCGATACCGATACTATTTTGGTGGTTTCTTATAATAACTATAGTATAGTATACCCCAAACCCTGTTCTGATTATTGAGGCCCGTATATTAGGTGTTGATTTCCCGATGCGCTCGCAAGACTCGACACCTTGTGCTGCAGATGCCAAGTGTGTCGCCGGCACACCACCTAAGTTTGTAAGCACTGCCAGAAATTAAGTCTTGCAGGTCTTCAATTCGATGCCGAAGCCCTCAACCGCAGACGAAACCAGGTGAACATCAAACAAATAAGCGTTGAGACTTACTTACAGAAATCGTTCGAAAGGATTTATACAGGCCTGGGGCTTGATAAGCAATGCTTCAACAGGGCTTACAATAAATGCGTGACTTCCTTGCTTTGGTACTTTTTGCTTAAGCTACCGAGAAGTCTACAGTCGAAGTCCAGTTGTTGTGGGTGTCGACGGCAGGAGGCGGTTTTAGCCGATGTCGTCACTTTCGGTGCTCTCGCAGCTGGGCCTACGATTTCAAGACTTGGGATCTAAAGGAACCCCTGAACCCTAAACCTTAAAC